TATGTGAAAACTTGATAACTCTTTATCTATGATCCATGAGATGTGATCATCAGTCTATCAACATAATAGTCTTAATGCTTTAGTGCTATCTTATTTTACAATAAAGCTCGACTACAAATACTTTATTAATAGTGTCATTATGTTTAATGGAATGTCATAATTAATTCATACTTAACATTTCATTAAACAGACTATTCTAGGGAGTTTATTATTTTGAAAAAATAAACATAATAAAGAAGTATCTTTTAATTATTAATAAATCATTTGATACAAGTACCAAGTTCTAATAAAATTATTATCCTCTAGGGCTTACACCAACACAATTATATAGGCCTTTAATTATCATTTGACTCATAATAAGGTAAGGAGAGAGATTATGCCATCTCAAATAGACAATTATGTTGGTCTTAGATGTTATACTTTGAATATGGCTGAAGGGTGGTAAAACTCATAAATAGATTCCTTCGGGAAGACATTTGAAAGCAAGTGGAGTCAAAGATGGTTGAAGAATCATACTTGTGGTTTACTAGAATACTAAGCAAAAAAAGGTGGTTGTGAGCAAGTGATGGGAGTGGCAAGATTAAGGTTTAAACAAGGCTTGAAAATGATAAAAATTGTTCAATATATGTTGAATTGGAAGAGAGTAGCAAGATCATTAATGGATAAATTGGTCTCGCCACTATTTTAATTCAAGGTGGAATTTATTGAAGTATGTCTTAAAATCTTAAGTGATGAAGAGAAAAGAAATATGGTTTGAGATTGCAAAAATCAGCCTAAAGATTGCAGAAATCCTTGAAAATATCTTATAGGGATTGAGAAATGTTTCTTTGGGCTTATGTGATTCATATATAGAGATTTAGAGAGATTGAAAATTACTTGGACATAAAATATGGTTTGTTCTTAGGAATTTAGCTGACTATTTTTTATAACTTATTTCTTATTTTTTGTAACAACTTGTTGAAGTATAGTGAATCTGAGAGTTGATATATCTTCATAGTAGATCATTTGATCGAACTCGATAAATAAATTATTGTGATTATTGTCTTTTATATTCTTCTGCCAAAGTTGTTATCTTATTACACATACAATTATTTTTGCTTAAAATAATTTATTTTGATTGTCATTATTCTTTGTCTCTACAACTCAAATTGTTTTGATATAATTAAACATTTCAATTTCACAAAAAATTATATTAATTTCTTTTCAAATCAACCTTTTATCCTAAAATTTCCAATCAATAACACAATCAATGAAACGATAAGCGGTAGTGTCAAATTGTTTTATGATGATATTTATAATTAAGTTGGTTTCTTCTCTTGATTGTTATGTTACTGTCATCATTAATTCTTGCTCTATCTTGTTGACTTAGTCCCAAAAAGTGATTTATATGACAAAAACATAAGGAGATTTATGCTTCTTCTAAACTCAAGCTTAATACTCTTTACCTTTATAAACATATATTATGTTCAATCATGGAACCAAATTTGCTCGATGTTTTTAGGAAACGTGTAATTTGAGGTTAAAGGGATGAAACCAAATGATTCATACTTTTTTATTCAAATTCACGTGAATATTTTGTTTCACAATATTTTTTCCCTTTGCCTAAATATACGTACTTACGTCTATTGCATTTCTCTAAGTTCAAAGAGATTTTGCGGATCCTAAACCCATCACCCCCTGCACCTCCCATGAATCATTCAAAGAGGTTCTATAAAAAATAAGATAATGATCATATTAGTATGGAATGATTGGGATATTTTTTTTAATTTGAGTGTTGGACATGTCTATCTAGGGATGTGAATGGGGCGGGACGGGAGCGGAGGATATATTGTCATCTCAATCTCCGTCCTCAAATCTATTCTGCGTTCGCGTCTCGAGTCTCCGCGACGGGAAAATTTTGTCCCCGATCTCCGTCCTCGCAGATTCCCGCTGATCCTAACGAATTTCCATGAATCTGAAAGTTCATACGCAGATCCATAAATATAATTTTCTTTATTTATTATTTGAAACCAAATTAATAATAAAAATTTCAAAAACTAACCACAACAAAATTTAGAAATTATTCATTGATAATAAATATATTATTTTAGCAATATTTAATCTATAATATTGAGTATCATAACCACTAAAATTTTAAACTTAAAAAGTTCAAAATAATTATTTATATCTCATTCTTTTACTAACAATATATTTAAATTTTAAATTTGTTTATAAGATAAATTATATGAAATAACAAATAAATCTATATAAAAATTTAAAATTATATATAAATTATGTTTATTATGGTATTTTAGATGAGACGAAGAATTCACGGGACAGAGATATTTACGCCACCGCCATCCCTGAAGTATCTTCAGAGAGACTTTGTTTCTCATCTTCGTCCTCGTGGAGAAAAATTCTCCGTCTTTAGAGCCCCAAACATAAAATCTATGCGGGGATCCTCACTAACTGAGCAAGTTGACATCCCTATGTCTATTTACTATCTATCTATTAACTAATCTTTAATATTCTATTCTACTATCTAACCATTAATAAAAGATGCTACAACTTTTCTTAAATTGTCCTTTTTGTCAAAAAATTTGCACTTACAAAAAGACATTTATGTATAACATAATGAGCATTTTAATCATTTGCATACACCCTCCTGAGGTGTATGTGACAATACATTTTTCTTTTTTGTCTCTTTTTAAATTTTGAAATTCAAATTATAATAATTATTTTCTATTTTTCCAATTCTTATACTGTCAAACTTTTCTCTCCTTATTTACTTTTCATTTCATTACAACTTACCTTTCTTTCTCTTGTCTTTCTCTCTCCGGTGTTTCCACTTTCATTTTAATTTTTTCACTCCCTATTTTCTCTTTTTCTTTTTATTTTCTAAACATAAATAAATTAATAAATTGAATCTTTTTAGGTTTTATATGTTTTTAGTTTTTATAAATTATCAAATTTTATTTTGATCTCTATAAAAAAAAAATGATATGTTTTAATTCCTATAAAATTATTATGCACGTAGTTTTAATTCTTACTATTAAACTCATATTTATTTTTGAATGATTATTTTGCAGACATGTTTAGAACGTTATAAAAAATTTCTCGAAAAAAAAAAGAATTCAAAATTTAATTTTTAAGCCGAGATTTTCATTACCTTCATTAATATCTTTTGAAATTTAAAAAATTCATATTTAATAATCTCATTTAAAAAAAAAATTAATAAAAAAATATTTTATAGTATTCTAAATACGTATGAAAAAAATTATTCAAAAATTTAAAAGTTTAAAAGTAATTAAACAGTTTCTAAAATTTTAGAAAATAATAAAAACTAAAATTGTATGAATAAAAATTTTATAATGACCAAATGTCAAAATTTATATTTTTCTCACGGACCACTATTTTATTTTGACTAACATTATATTTATTTGAGACACAAAATTCTTATTTTCAAATGTCAAAATTTATATTTTCCTCACGGACCACTATCAACAAAATTCACATTTTATTTTAATTAACATTATATTTATTTGAAACACAAAAATTTTATTTTCAAATGTCAAAATTTTTATTTTTCTCACATACCACTATTAATAAAATACACATTTTATTTTAACTAACATTATATTTATTTAAGACAAAATTCTTATTTTTAAATGTCAAATTTTCTATTTTTCTCACGGGACATTATTAGCAAAATACCTATTTTATTTTAATTAACAATTGTCTTTATTTGAGACTCAAAATTCTTATTTTCAAAAGTCAAAAATTATATTTTTCTCACGATCCACTATCAACAAAATACACATTTTATTTTAACTAACATTATATTTATTTGAGACACATAATTCTTATTTTCAAATATCAAAATTTCTATTTTTCTCACAATTCACTATCAACAAAATACACATTTTATTTTAACTAATATTATATTTATTTGAGACACAAAATTCTTATTTTCAAATATCAAAATTTCTATTTTTCTCACTGAATACTACAGTAAAATACCTATTTTATTTTAACTAACATTATACTTATTTGAGACACAAAATTCTTATTTTCAAATGACGAATTTTCTATTTTTCTCACGGCACTATCAACAAATTACCAATTTTATTTTAATTAACAATTATCTTTATTTAAAATACAAAAAAAAAATTATTTTCAACAAAATTCGAATAGAACTATATGCAAGAACGATTCTAATGTTATTTCATTATCATTTTTTATCATGTTTCTAAATTCAATTTGTGTTTGAATGTGAATTTTATAATTACTATGTATTGTGCTAATAAAGTATCATTCAAATTAAATGTTCATGTGCATGCATACATACATACATACACCGGACTAAATAATTTTTACACTTTATTATATCAAATTTGCAAGCCGTTATGTTGTCTAGTGAAAAGTAAATACCCCTCAATTTTTTTATTGATTTGCATAATAGGAATAAGAAAAGTGAATGTTTTTGAAAAATATTCAAGCTTTCAATGAAAAGTTTTAGTTTACCCTGAGCAGAATCTACATTCCATACAAGTTTGCTGCATCAACTAAATATATATATATATATATATATATATATATATATATATATATATATATATATATATATATATATATATATATATATAAATGTGAACCATTGATCATTCTATATATTATCATATTACAAGATATTCAACCCCATATTTCCCACAAATGTTAGTATCAGTGATATAACTCTTCAGTGCAGCTCTCCTGGGGGTATAGTATTACATATACGCTCAATAATTTTTATTCATTCAGAACATAAATTTAATAAATTGAATGATCTCAATAAATTGGCTAATCTGAAATTCCAACTCCAACAGTAAGTTTATGTATATGTATATCTGATTTCGCCTTCTTATCCAAGCATCTTGAATCATGATTCTCATTTTCAATCTCTAGACTTCCTTAAACAAAATCACAAACCAAAATTGGTTGCCACATGTTCCATGTGCCTATTAACCATTATTTTGTTACCGTCAGAATGCAAACTCTTCTTCCTCCACTGCAGTATTAATTAATCTATCTCCCATCTCCCGGAGAGCATCTGCGGTTGAATCATGTATGCCCAAAAGAAATTGCATACGTGTCAATTTTTCAGAAGATGGACTACTTTTCAAGAATATGGTGTAAAGATCAGCAAGCTCCTCTGGCAATTCCCATGATAGTGGTGGTGAGGGTATTGCTTTGTCGCAAGCCAGCATATCATTGAGTGAAGAAACCTGCATAGAAGATGAGAAGTAGACAATCCATAACAAAATTTAAGATAAATAACAGACTTTATGAAAAAATGAAGCTTCAGAAAACCACTCACCACCCCTTTACGATTTTTCTGTCTTAATAATGCCACAGCCTGAATGAGTGAATTTGATAACCTAGTTTGTGCGAGCTGCTGGACAACAACTCTGGATTTCTCTTTACTAATGTTGAGATCTGATGGGATATTTTCATATACTTCTTCCTCGTCAAATTCTCCAGTGCCTGATGAGAAAATATCACCAACAGTTTTTTTGAAGAGCAACTCTCTCATGTTCTTTGATACCATGTTGTCTAAATCAACACCAGCTTCCTTAAGTTCTCTTATCTGCTTGATATTCAGCCGTCCTTGTGTCACTGCAGTTTCAATGGCAGCTGCCATTTTGGTAGTGGTTATACTCTTGATTACCTTCTGCGCATATTCTTCGGGTAAGCCTACTTCCTTCTGCAGATTATTAAGTTGCTCCACCTTGGCCTTCGTCAACTGTCCATCAGCTAAAATCACCTCAGCTTGTTGCTTAAAAGCTTTCTCTGCAAGACTTCTATGTACATCCACTATATCTTTACCACTCAAACCGAGAATCCCACCAAGCTGGTTTAGAATAATATATTCTGAATCATTCTTCTTTTTAGTGATCTGGGCACCAAATGGAATCTTTGTCACATCACCAGTTAGGCAATAAAGCAAGTATGTCTGGTAAAGATCAGTCCTATCTCTTAGTGGAAGGTCATCTTTAAGAGTAATTTCCGTCTGACCAGGCTTCCCCATCTTTTTTAAAAGTTCTTTGTCTGGGTTTGTTTTCCGGAGTGTCGGAAGAGAATCCCATTCTTCGTCTTCAGTTTTTGTCACACCCTCTATTTCAAGCTCTTCGGTTGATACATCATCTGACTCCCCTTTAATGTCCTTCACCAACTCTGTCACAACCAAAGTGTTGAAAGCTATCAGCTTCTTGAGTTCTTTCGCAGACTCCTTGGAATCTTCAGCAGTTCGTGCACGTTTTATGTAAGTAATAAACATCTTCCTTACCTGTAGTGTGATATAACAGCAAAGCACAAGTTAAAACCATTTTAAATCCTCATAAGTGATCATCAATGTTCCTGACACATGGATACTCACGGCCTTGCTTGCAATAGACATAGCAATTTCCCTGGTTAGTTGCAAACCATGTGCTGCTTTTCTTACTGATTTCTTAATTTCAGCATCATATCCATCAACCCCTGATTCAATTGCTTCCATGACAACCTATGAAGAAAAACATAATTCAGTAACTTGATTTTAAACATACCCTTGCAAGAGAGCAGAAAAAATAAATAAAAAACCTTAATATCTCTACATATGAATACTATCAACTAACTATAACTTATGATTTTGTGTTATTTAAAGCTTGAACGCACGAGAATCAAAACTAGTATAGATTTAAAAGCATGCGGATAACATACATGTTTACAAAGTTAAAACATGTGACCTAATAAAATTACCAGAAATGCAGACAGCAGTTCAACATGAAAAATTCATTAGAACATACACAAACTCTCACGTGCAAACCCTATGACAGCAAAAGCACCATCCCCTGTGCCTGCTTCCTCTAGCCACAAACCATTCTAACTAATTTGTAGTCAGGCATGTAACCAACAAGTATCGACAAACCTAAATTTATCATTACACAATCGTTTCTCAAGTCTCGAACAATAGCAGAGGTGAAGGCACATGATCACTTTGTCAATAAATGTGTGCATGGATATTTGGAAGGTATAATCAATTAACTAAAGTGGAAGCGAGAAACATAGTACCTTTCCAAACAAACTACCACAGATATCTGAGTGAGCAGCTTCAACAGTGTCTTGAGGAATACAGAGCATTACACGCAATCTCAACAAAGCAGTAGCATCCTCCTCAGTGAGCTCCCCATCAACCATCAAGTGCTGAAGCTTTTGGCGGTAAATTTCTTAACATTAGAAACAAGAGTGAGATTTTGATATAGTTAGACTAATAGAACATTGAAGAAATTTAACAAGAAAGATGTGGAACAAGTTACCTTCGTGAATTTTACAGGCTTTTTGTGGATCAAAGTGCAATTCATCACACAAATTTTGAAGGAATGCTGCTTTGCTATCTGCCTTTTCTAATTCACCACCTGAAAAAGCCTTTGCAAGGTGTTTGCGATATACTTTGGATGTAACATCAATTGTAATTTCTTCTGCTTCGCGTTTACTCATTCCAAATATATTCCTCAACTGAGTTAGTGCAGAAAGCTGAAATATATAATTAATATTTTAGAAATCAATCTGTCTTTACAATAAAATATCCACATGTAAAAACTCTTAGCATTGAAACATGAAAAAGAATAACAAGAATTAGTGTTATGACAACAGAATCTACTTTAAATGTGAATAGTAAAATGAGATTCAGAGAAACAAGGATTAGGATATTCTATTAAGAGATATTACCTTAAACAACTAGTTCAATTAGACTTTGGCATTGTATTAAGAGAAAAGTTGGAGGCAAAGAATAAAGGACGTCTAGGAAGGCTCACCAATAGATTGGATCTAGATTAAGGGTTTAAATTAAATTTGGAATGCCAAATTAGTAGAGAAAAAAAAGCATGGAGCCCCAAACGGCTAGATTTTTCCATCTATCTTTTCCAAACACTCATAAATTTTTAAGTTTCCATCTTCCACACAATCTTTTTCCATCTATCTTTTCCAAAAACTCACAAATTTCCAAGAGTTTCCTCTTTCCATACAATTTTTTTAATATCCAATGAAACATTTGGAATGTTCTCCCTCAAGAAAACATTTATCCAAACTCTAATTCAAAAACTGTTTTTCTTAAATATTTGGAATAAATAAAAACTCTGGATTTACGGTGCTTATATGTGATAACACAATTTTATATAGTATATTTGATTTAATTTTCATAAATAATGTTAGTATTTTTATTTAATTATTTCATTTTATTTCCATATTACGCCGGTATTTTTATTGTTTCAGGTATTTTATTTTAATTAGACAAATTGAGCAAAGTGAAGAAATTAAGAGAGTTATTGGACTAAATATGCAAGAAATGAAGAAAAGGGGTGTGCAAAGCAAAAATGATGGATCAAAAGGTTTATTATCTCCAAACTGGGCCCAAACGAAATCAGGCCCACGCAAGCAAGAGAGCCCTAAAGGCACGTGCAAGAGTGAGACGCACGTCTCAACTCCTCTCCTACAATTGAGGCGCCCGCCTCAGACCCTCCCCTTAGTGGGAGGCGTCCGTCTCAACGTGGTCAAGTGGATGAGTAAATCTCGGGACGACCACCTCCACTCAAAGCAGTTAGAACGAGAAATTTGGGGAAAAGTGGTACGAAAATATCTCAAAACGTGGTTACATTCTACCACTATAAAAGGACATCAGGAAATCAAAAGGGGGGCCGTTTTTTAGCATTATTTTCAAGTTTCAGAATTTACCTTCCCGCATTATTATTTTCCATTGTAATTCAGTTTCCAGCAGTTATTTTCCAGCCAGTTCCTTTTCAAATACTTAAATTTTATTTTGTTGAAGAACCGGGATTTTGTACGAATTGATTCAAGCTTCAAGAATTATTTCCAGCATTTATTTAATTCAGGTTTCTTATTTACATCGCTTTAATTTATTTAATTAATTATTTGCATGAGAGATATTTATTTAGCCATGAATTTATTTACGAATGTTAATTCCTTTAATGTATTCATGTCTGCTTTTATGAGTATGTCTAGCTAAATTATTTAAATATCGATATGTAACGAGTTAATTTGAATGGATCCGTAACAAACAGGCTTGATTATATTTTATAAAATAAACACTTTTTCTGATTTAGTTATCTAATTTATTTTGTTAAAAAAGGTTTAGAAACCAACAGAGCGAAAGTTTGAGGCTAATAAACTGACTAAGATTAGAAACCAATAGAGCGACAGTTTGAGGTTTAAAATCAGTTAGTAGATACTAGGTATTGTTTTTAAAGACTGCGACAGCGTTTTAAAACCAATTAAACTTTATTTATTTTCAAAAAGTAATTTTAAAATCAATGGGATAGCGAAAGCATACATCAGAGTTTAAAATTATAATTTACTTCAATAGAGCGAAAGTTTGAGAATAGATTTTTGAATAAATACTTTTTGCTGAAAAAAATATTATTATCATTTTTAGAAAATAAGCCAGTGGAAAGCCGGATTCTTTAGTGTTAACGAAGTACATACCGATATTCGCATTATTATTATTTCAATTAGAATTAAGTTTTATTACCCAAAAATTCCCCTAATTAATTATTCGATGGCTATAGCTTTACACAATAGTTTAGGTTACGTTAGTTCGATTTATAGTCCCTTAGATTCGATATCTTTTAAAACTACGCGATAGGGCTGTATACTTGCAGTCTCCCGATTAAAACAGACGATAAAGTCTTGCGATCAAGTTTTTGCGATCAAGTTTTTGGCGTCGTTGGACTATTTAAGTTGATATCGTGATTTTATTACGAAGTATAGACTATAGCAACTATTTCTTTTCCCTCTGTGTATGCCAAATACTCGCTCTCAAGGCGCGCCTTTGCATATACCTATATACGATATCGAGCGTTACCTTAGATTAAGAAGACGAATTCAAGAGTATTTAGAACGCAACAACCTTCCTTCGACCAAACTTCCTGACGTTGAAGAACTCAAGAAGATGGCTGATCTACCTGCTCCTGCTCCTCGTCCTCTTAAGGACTACGCTGTTCCTTCTCAAGCAGAGCCTCATAATAGTATTGTTGCTCCTGCTATCGCTCGAAACGATTTCGAGCTAAAACCTTCGCTTCTTTCCGCCGTTCAGCAGAACTAGTTTTCTGGAGCTCCTACTGACGACCCGAATCTTCATCTGTCAGTGTTTGTGCAGTACGCAGACACTGTGAAAGCGAATGGTGTTTAACCCCGAGGCGATACGATTGCGCCTATTTCCTTTTTCTCTCAGAGACAGAGCTCGCGCATGGCTCAAATCTCTTCCTTCCAACTCAATCACCACATGGGATGAGTTGAAGAAAGTCTTCTTGGCCAATATCAATGGTTTCAGACAAAAAGACAATGAATCACTCTTTGAAGTTTGGGAACGTTATAAAGACATGCTTAGACTTTGTCCTCATCATGGTTTAGAAGAATGGCTGATCATTCACACGTTCTACAATGGTCTCTTGTATAAAACGAGATTGACTATAGACGCCGCAGCTGGTGGCGCACTGATGAATAAACCATATACTGAAGCAAGACAATTTATCGAAAGCATGGCTCAAAACCATTACCAATGGGGTACGGAGAGAGTTAGCGTAGAGAAATCTCAAACGAAAGGTGTCATGGTTGAAGTGAATAGTCTGGATCAAGTCAACGCTAAAGTGGAAGCTCTCACTCAAAAGCTCGAGAATCTTACCACCGCTCCCGCAGCTACTGTTGCTGCAATTGTTCAAACTTGCGACTTATGTGGTATTCAATCACATCTTGCTCCAGAATGCCCACTTTTAACAGGAGTTTCAGTTGAACAAGCGAATTACGTACAGGGTAATCCTTACAGCAACACATATAACCCTGGCTGGAAGAATCATCCTAACTTTTCATACAAGAGTAACAACGCGTTATACGCACCTGGACAAGCTCCTGCTACACCACCTGGTTATCCTAAGGCTATTCCAAATCATCATAATAATGGTCCTAACACGTCTAATGCTCCTAGGAAGTCTAATTTGGAAGTCATGATAGAGCATTTCATCGCTACTCAATCCCAAACCAATAATACTCAATCCCAGACTAATAAGGATGTTCAAAATCAGAATATACACATTAATGAGCAGATTAAGCAATTATCTAACAAGCTTGATGCTTTAGCTACACATAATAAAATGTTAGAAACACAAATCTCTCAGGTAGCTCAACAACAAGCGGCTTCTGCTGCTCCTGCTGGCTCATTTCCTGGACAGCCTCAACCTAATCCCAAAGGACATGCAAATGCTGTTATCTTAAGAAGCGGAACAGAGTATGATGGACCTGTAGATCTCAGAAACAATAGCCCAGCTATGCAACAAAATTCTGTTAAACAATCTGAAACTAAAGATAAAGAAGAAAAGGAAAATCAGAGAGATAATAATGAAGATACCACGCAAAAAGATGAAACTTATGTACCCCACCACCTTATAAGCCTCATATCCCATACCCTCAAAGGTTAGCTAAAACTAAGAATGTGGGTCAATTCAAGAAATTCGTGGATCTTCTGAAACAACTTAATGTTACAATTCCTTTTACCGAAGCTATAACTCAAATGCCCTCCTACGCTAAATTCCTTAAAGAGATTCTATCCAATAAGAAAAAGCTAGAGGATAATGAAACTGTCATGCTTACTGCTGAATGTAGTGCAATTATTCAAGACACAATGCCTCCTAAACTCAAAGACCCTGGAAGTTTCTCTATTCCATGTGTAATTGGCAAATTTGTCATAGATAAAGCTTTATGTGATCTTGGAGCCAATATAAGTGTGATGCCGTTATCTATATGCAAGAAACTTGAAATGGGAGAACTCAGACCAACCAAAATGTCCGTTCAATTAGCAGATAGGTCAATTAAATATCCTGCAGGAGTTCTCGAGAATGTTCCTGTACGCATTGGCCAATTCTATATACCAACCGATTTCATTATTATGGACATAAGGGAGGACGAAGTTACCCCAATCATTCTTGGAAGGTCTTTCTTAGCTACAACCGGTGCAATTATAGATGTAAAAAGAGGAAAACTTACTTTTGAAGTAGGTGAAGAGAAAATCGAATTTATCCTCTCTCAATTCCTGAAAGCACCTGCAATTGAAGATACTTGTTACTTCATGGATATCATCGATGAATGTAGAAAAGAAGCTGAGCTTGAAAATGAAGACAATCTCGATGAAAATCTGAGTAGTAATCTAAGTGAATGCTTAGCTATAGCACCATCTCCTACACAATGTTTAAGGAAACCACCCCTAGAACTCAAAACACTTCCTAAAAATCTAAGGTATGAATTCCTAGATTCCGAACTCGAACGACCAGTGATAGTCAACGCAGAACTTGGCGAAACCGAAACTGAAAAACTTTTACAAATTCTGAGAAAATATCCAACAGCCTTAGGATATAATATCACTGATCTTAAAGGAATAAGTCCCTCTATCTGTATGCATCGCATTATGCTAGAAGAAGATTGTAAAACTTCAAGAGAACACCAGAGGAGACTAAACCCGATTATGAGCG